TCATCCTCAATGTGTAAAAACTGGTGATCTCAAACTAGGCAATACCAGCGCCGGCCGCGCCCGAATACCGGTCAAGAAAGGAAGGGGTGTGTTGACGTGACACTCGCTTTGATGAAAGCCGAGAACACCTCTGCACTTCCACGAGGAATCACTGGGATATTGGGTAATAGCGTTGGGTTTGCAGCAGGGTTCGTTTTGGTAAACGATATGCTGAATTGATTTCCTAACCATCATATAACGCGAAAGAGCTTGGGATTGAACTCACGTTCTTCTGCTCAGTAAGTAAAAACGTTTGCCACTAGGCAGACGAGCTCCTTTTTAATCATCGAGTTGTTGTTATTACCATGTAGTCATGTTAACAAATAAAACGGTTGACGAATCTTGAATGTGGATGGGCTTGAGATTAGACTCATGATGTTCTGCTCAGTAAGCAAAACCGGTTGCTCTAAGGCCACCGAGCCCCTCATATCACATTATAGCGTTACTCAAGTTTTTATAACTATTCAAACCCGGCACCGACGACAACGAAAAGTTTTACAAAATACACGATAAACAAGCGATCTTTTAATATGAAAGGACCTGGGACCGCGTTTTTCTCCTCAGTAAGCAAGCCACTGCAACCGACAATCTTTGAAATCCTAAAACTAAAAGCTACGAAAGAGTACTTAGGCCTTCATTAAGATCCACTTTCACCACGCGACGTTCAATGTTTCGATTTTCTCTTTACGCATGGTTCAGGCAATCATAACAAGCTATGACCGTTAAATAAGCTATTCAAATGAAATTACGTTCTCGAATTTCACTTAGAATGTAATGAACAACAGAAATACGCAATAATTCATATTTTCAGCGGTTGATATTTAATTTTATATATACTAACGACACTGCCTACGACTACGACGGCGATTACGACAGCGACTATGACGTTCGCCTACGACAACGACAACAGCGAATCTGCAACTTACCATTTGTCTAGGATAAACACCCTTGCCCGGCACCTCCACTGGTTCCTCATGTCCGCTATCTGTCACTGTTTGCAGAATATCTAATACCAATTACCTTTGTTGAAATACTTCCTGTATTGCCATGGTAATCTGGGAGGAGGTTCGCATCTAGTGCTCTCCCCAGGAACCGTTCACGGCCACCAGCCAACGCCCATCCAGTCTTGGGCGTATCCAGCGAGACATCCCTCAGCCTACTCACAATCTCCAACACTCGATGCAAATCGCAGGCACACTTACGCTAGTTACAAAAAAAACACACCCGTGCAAAGAAACGGATCCAATAAACGTCACTCTCGAGAAACCACACCCGTCGTCGTTGAACGGCAAAAAAAAAGGAATCGGTGGGCAATTTTGTGATACGGATTTCCAAAATCAAACGGGAATGTACGAATTTCATCACACCCAACTGCGAAGCACGTTCAGAAGCACTTATGGTACACTTTCGTTCGAAAACACTTAATTTTTTCAAAAATAGTTGCGAGTGAACCAACGTCATCACCGCGTAAATAAACTAAAATTAAAATTATCACTCAAATGTTGACTTTATAATGTGTAACACACGGGTTATCAACAAGACATTTCACGCATAAGTTTTTGTATCCTTTCAAGGAAGAACATTGGTAATAATGTAGATGAATAGGATCAAAGCAATTGATTTTTGGGTATTGATAAATTCCGGATAAACCATCAAGCGGAATACCACAAACGTAACAGTTCTTATGAAAAAAAAAGTTCTGTTTTCAATACTTCCTCCCTATCCAAATATAACTCAGTTTTCTCAACAATTGTGCGTGCTTCAAATCTAACTAGACGTATGGATTCAGGAAGGTCTATTTACAAAATCCAAGCGTAATATTCAAAGAAAGAAGCCAAAATTCATCTTGGCTGAACATAAAAACCAAATTTTAACAAAAAAATACGTAGTTTTGCCAATTTAGACCGCAAGTTTTCCTCGGAATAGCTTCAAAAAAATTACTCATTCTATGAGTGACCTACGTTTTCGCGAATTTGAGTAACCTGAACTCAAATATGATTAACTCTTACTCAATTTTGAGCATTTTCATTGGCCGTGCATGCGGAATGTGTTTAGAAAAGTATGTCAAGTGCTTGTTAAAATTACAGGGGCTGGGGTCATATGGCAAAGTGTTACAACCCTTTTATTAAGTACAAGAAAAGTACGTATGTAGGGGTGGATATTTAGTATATAAAAGCAATCTGTTGCATTACGTAATAGCCACTGCTTACTGCAAAACTCTATTTTTGCAAATGCTGCTATTTTCATGAATGAAGATTGTTTTATCCACATTTTAGGGTGGATACGTCGTGCAGATACGGTCAGTCCAGCTATGTTGAAAGCTCTTTCACTAGGCGTGCTGGTGGCGGGCACACACAATACCTTGATGCAAACCAAGGGTACCAACCAAGGATACTTACTTACACCACCGGAGGTGCAAAGGGCCAACGTGAAAGACTTCCATCCTGGGCGGCTGCTCGCTTTTGTCTTGACCTGGGCCCAGGTCAGATTTCTATCGACTTGCTTTATTTCCTTGTTGAGGCTCCACCGCCATGAGCCCTGGGTCTGCCTCTGCTGCGATGTCCTGGTGGATTCCAATCCAGTGCTTGCTTTCAGATTTCGTGTCCGCCCCGTCGCAGTTTGTGGCCGACCCACCTCCACTTTCGGTCTCGAATTTCTGTTGCTATCGGCTTCAGATGACATCGAGGATGGAGCTCGCTACCGTGAAGTTGGAAGGGTTACCCGTGTTGGCATCCAACGATTTAGTCTTGTTGACGTTGATGGTGAGACCTGCCGCAGAGGAGCGTTCGCCTAGGTCATTGAGCTTACTCTGCATATCAAAGCGCTATTGTGATAGTAGAGCAACATCATCAGCCAAATCGAAGTCGTTGAGATGCTCCATGATGATAGGCTGCCAAAGCAGCCCTCGGTTCGATACACGGTCAATTGCACTCACCATGATCTCGTCGATTACTATGAGGAACAGTAGCGGTGATAGTATACATCCTTCCCAAGTAACATTTAACGTTTTATGAAATACTACAAGGCTACTATAAAACAACATTCATAAAACCCTGGTCAAGACAGATTTGTCTTTATTTCATCCACCAAAACCTCATTAAGTCTATAATTTAGTTGGCCCACCCCGAAAAAGGTTTTGAAGGGCATATTTTTGAGGCACTTCAAGATTGATTTGCTGCAAAAAGGTTATACTGCAGAAGCATTGAAAACCATTTAAATCCTTATTAAAACTACAATAAAAGCCATTTGGCATCAATATTTGTGTCATTGCCTTTGATGCTTGCTAACCGCACTGAAAATAAAGCATTAATCAAGATAAGATGCATAAATATCATCAGATCCTGCCAAATTCATTGTTCAAAAATCAATCTTTCAAAAATCTTCTTAAATTTCCTCATCTAATGCGAAAGAATTACCAAAATTATCAAAGTAGTTCTCATTTTGTGGTCTTTTTTTGGGAGATAGATTAAATCTAATGTGAAATATGCTTCAAAAGATCGAAAAAATAGGTCCGCCTTCGGAAATCGTTGATTTTACTTATTATTTTTAATTTAGGAAACAACGTTTAGTTAGAGTTGGTTGGAAATGCTAACATGAAGCTTTAGTGTGATAATTTATTAGCTAGAGAATGATCTTTAGAAGAGGGTAGGTGGATAGTTCCGTTAGAGTACGGCAGTATAAAATTGAATAGAAGTTGAAAATGGGCGAAGGGCCATTAATGCGACAGTTTTTAAAGCTAGACGCACATATTTTGCCTAACCCGTACGATGTACGCGGAGACTTGAAGTATGTCGCATTAATGGCCCTTCGCTCATTTTCAACTTCTATTCAATTTTCATACTGCCGTACTCTAACGAAACTATCCACCTACCCTCTTCTAAAGATCATTCTCTAGCTAATAAATTATCACACTAAAGCTGCATGTTAACATTTCCAACCAACTCCAATTATTTGAGTTATTTATTAAGTTTAGTTGAAGCATTACATTTATCGTTTTCAAATTAGAAATTAGAACCTACCTCATCCAACTTCGGCTTGTTTTATAACCGTGCCATCAGACAAACGGGATGCTCAAAATCACAGATACCGCTAAAATTTCAGCGTTAACAAGCAAATCGTTTTCCTCCGCTTTCAAAGTGGGGTCATTCGTGTGAAAATAAAAAGAACGGAGCCGAAATCCCGGCGAGATTTATTAGCCCCGATAGCTCCGTCGTCGCCGCCACTAGAAACAAATACAAACCGGCACAGTCAGATGGACGATGATAAGAAAATGAATAAAAAAAAAAGGAAGAAGAGAGTGCCTTCCTGAGGAATCGACGCGCGTACCTATAGCTACCAATGAAAGCACGTGGGCGTCAAAAAGTAAATTTCAACAAGCTGTATAGACAAACGGCTTCGACCAGCAGTTCGTTCTGAATCCAATTTCCAGGGATTATAGAGAGGCTGTTTGGCAGCGTTGCCGGCTTGTTGTATCCGAAAACAACATCACAACAAGGCATAGGGCAGAAGGCAGAGCACCGCTGAGGATTGAACGGAAGCAAGTTCAACTTTTCCGCCTCTGCCGAGCTAACTGGATTAGGTTGACCTTTAATTTTCATCTGGTTGTGATATTATTTACTGGCTGCAGTGCTGGGGTAGGATTAGTGCAAAGAATGACCAGCAACCCTCGCCATTAGCTCCCAGGAAGCGCAGGTCTTTTCCTTAAGCGGTGAATTTATGTAGCTTTTGATTTTGGCCGGGATTTGTTCCGGATGGGGCGAGACGGCACCGGGGACTTTTCGGTCGTCATTAATTTGGATTAATGTCCGTGCTGCGTAACGATAATGAGTGTTGATTATACTTTCTGATCCTTTCGACAATCGAATTACGCTCGCACAGCGAAAACTGCGCGAGAAACTCCTAAATGGAAACGATGTAGTAAATCATCACCTTTTCCGTTTTCTCTGGTTCTATTTTTGCAGCAACAACATCCAACACGATACCAACGATAGCGTTAACGACGTCGACGACGACGGCCACCGTGACGACAGTTCCATACCAACCAACGGTACGTCGAATGTCCGACCAGGATCGACCGCTGTTCGAGGCTCTGATAGCGGATGACAACTCGGAGAATCCCCAGCGGAGGCATGCCTGCACCGGACGGTTCCTGACGATGCATAAACGGCGCAGAAAGAAGCTCCACACCCGAAGCCTCGCACTGGATCCAGCCATCTTGGATGACATCCTACACGGCCAGGTGCAATGCATGCTGGACCGGGTCGGACATTGGCGCTTTAATGCTTTCACCCTGGAAACGGTCACTGGTGGTAAGTTTCATCGCCCGCATATGATCCCAAGTAAGTCTGAACTCATTCCCGATGTACTCTTCCAGGACGTTCACTGCCTGTCTTATGTGTTCATTTGTTCCATTGGTACGGCCTCTTGGACCACTTCAACCTAGACGTAGTTAGAGTATGGAAATTGTTTAGTTTAATCGAGGAAGGTTATCATAGTACGAACCCGTATCACAATTCAATTCACGCGACTGACGTAACACAAGCAATGCACTGTTTTTTGCAAGAGAAACGCATCCTGGAGAATCTGAGCCCACTGGAGATCATGGCATCGTTGATCGGTGCCGTTACGCACGACCTGGACCACCCGGGCGTGAATCAGCCGTTCTTGATTGCGACGTCCAACCACCTGGCGGCGCTCTACGAGAACACCTCGGTGCTAGAAAACCATCACTGGCGTTCGGCCGTCGGGTGTCTGCTAGAAAGTGGTGTCGCCGAACAGATACATGGTATCCGACCGGAACTGGAAAAGCAAATCAGCTCTCTAATCCTGGCGACGGACATCACCAGGCAGCATGAATTTATCAGCAAATTCCGCGAATACCTAACCCGGGATAGTTTGGATATGCGCGACAAAGAGCATAGACACTTTATCCTGCAAATCTCGCTCAAGTGTGCGGACATCTCGAATCCCTGCCGGCCATGGGATATTAGTAAAAAGTGGAGCCTGAAGGTTTGCGAGGAGTTCTTCCGCCAAGGAGATTACGAACGACAGCTCAATCTACCGGTAACTTCCCTCTGTGATCGACACTCCACGTCGGTGCCCAAGATTCAGACCGGCTTCTTTAAATTTGTCGTTACACCCCTGATGGACGAATGGCACCGTTTCCTGAAGACTGACCTATCCCACAACATGATGCATCATCTGAAATACAACCAAAACCAATGGGAAAGCAAACTGCAGGCAGAGATTAACGAAGAAACCCGAACCGAAATATCCGACGCTGAATTGCTAGACGACGACATCGACGATAACGATGACCAAGATGAACCGTTGCACGATCTGTCCGACAGTTCGGAAATTCTCATCCCAAGCGCCTCAAAGTTCGGACGGCGCAGTTCACTGCAAATCTCCGGATTCTGTGGAGCCCGCAGCGAGCGACGATTCTCCGTTCCCGTACATAGTATACCGAAGATAGTGCTTCCAGCACGAGACCACCGAGAAAGCAACCTCCCACCGGAATCAATCCAGGAAAGCGACGAACACAAGTTCGACAACGATTCGCTCTCGATCTTTTCATCGGACAGTGACAGTTTGCACCGAGGGGCTCGCGGTTCCTCCACCGGTAGCACAGCTGACCGCGAACGTCCTCTGAGTGCGGAGAATCTTCTTCCAGACTGCAGCATTGCGTCCATGACCGATGGTATCTGCGGCGATCGACTGAATCTAGTGCTTCACGGAGCCGTTAGCGTAGGAAACACCGCGAATCTTCTCACCGTTGGAACTTCCAAGCATCTAATCAGACAGCAAACCTTCCCACCGTTGCAACCGTACATCCGCACCCGTTACATGTCTTCGCAAGCGGAGCTCGGTGCCTGTCCGGAGGCATTACTCGAATCCAACTCCAGCAGTAGCTCTTCCAACCCGGAAACGAACAGCGAATCTCGTGGCATCCTAGTTACTAAGAAGGAAAGCACCAAGCGGGAAACGGATTCGTCCGCTACCGCCGAAAAGGCCAAAATCCCGAAGCTCTCTCTCGGCCAGAAGGAGAATCTCGACCCGTCAATGCTGAAACGAAGTCTCAGCCGGCGGAGAGGCTCCGCTCCGGTCACCGTTGCTCTACCACCGAAACCCGTCGAATCCGAACTGAGCGTATCGTTCGTCATTAAGACCTGCGACCTACGGCGAGGTTCCATGCCTGCCGAGTTCATCACTTCCATGCGTAAGACCCCTTTTTTTTCGATAACAAAATCATCCATTCTCAAAATGTATCTCCTCCCACAGACACCAGAGACCAACCGAACGGTGGCCAGCCGGAAGTGACGGCCACCGTGCCGAACAGCATTGGTCCGTCGTACAACATTCAGCGGCGGGGTTCCGTACCGTGTGATAGCACAAATAACGTTGTGATTCGGAACAGCTTTACCGGCAAACGGCGCAGTGCGAAAAAGGCCCTAAGGCGGCGGTCGTCCGGTGGAGCGGAGATTCTAAGCCCGATCCTATCGGAAGACGCCACCAGTTCCGGCAATGGTGCTAGTAGCAGTTCAACGTCGACGTCGTCGGCCTGGCAGCGATTCAAGCGACGATCCGATGCGGAGAATCTGCTATCCCGACGGCGGGGTTCGCTTCCGGTTGAGGTGCTCACCATTGGATATTCGGGTAAGTCCCCCCCCCCCCCATTTTTCATTCTATTTAACCTCACCGGGCATCAAATTCGTACTTGCTGTGCGTTCATACTTCTATATTTTTATAGCATACACATGTGGGATCTTCCCATTTCCTGTCAATCGGGAAAAAATCTACCCGTTAAAAAGAGCACGACGATAAAAAAAAAACGCTTTTCCGTGAACACACGCATATCCTGACTGTGGTGACTGAGAGTGAAATGTTTGACGAATGGAAAATGTTTATGAATCAATAAATTTCCCAGCACTCGTCATCGCCGCCATCGCGCTCGTCGTACCTACCGTGATGTAGCGAAGCGATTATTCATCCTGCTCTCCTCGGGCGGCGACTACTGTTCCCTGTATGGACGATTCCCGGGGAGCAGGAAATCGAATTTCAGTTTTTTTTTTGCGTTACATCTTTGGTGCTTGTGGTGAAGCGAGCATATTTTCATTCAGATTCAGTGTTGTCGTTTTTCCACACAGTAAAAGCATACTTAATGCGTTTGACTGCACGATATTTCTGGACGGCCGGAGGTCACCGGTTGATTAGTTTTCCTTTGCCAAAGTCCGGTATAAATTGGGATGACCTCCTTTCGTCAATGCTCCATGCTTTCCTTTTTTATGTCACATCACAATCACGTTTGAGCTGGCAGGGAATTGCTGTTGTGTATGCCGAGGATGCCGACGATACGATTTAATGTGCAAATTCCACAATTCTATTGACTCGGTGGAATGCTACGCAGAACAATAGTCTAATCACTGTTACGCTTCGATTAGCGCAGATACAGATCATTCGCTCAGTTTCCTAGTGAAACACCTTGATATGGCACAGGATTTCAAGTACGATACCTTGCCGAAGAGTTTAGGAAGTGGAAATCGTGTCAAGATTGCCTGGAGTAATTTCCCAGTCATACGCCCCATTTAATTCCGAGCCTCGGCAGAGTAATGACAATTAAACAATAACCGTACACTTGAGTGCATTTGCCGCTGATGTTAGCTTACTTTCTCAGGACGACCTTCAGGCCTTTCGACCCAAACGGAAGGAAGGAAATAGGTTTAAAATAGCGCGCTTCCTCGCAGCTCAGTCGGTCGTTCGCAACTGGGACCGACGACAATTGCACTCAATCACCGCCTCAATGGACCAGGTTTTCTGTCACTCTTGTTCTGGGGAGGACAACCGTCTTGGGATGGGGGGGACTGTGCAAGTGCTCATGAATTTGCGTACATTTTTTTTTATCGACCTTCTCTGTTGCGTTTTGGAGAGCTTTTCTCCATTGGTAACAAGTGCGGACAGATGAGTGGTGGGATTAAACTGGTCCTGTCCTGTATGCTTCTTGGAAGCACTTGGATTGGCAGTATCATGATTGGGTGTTGTGAAAGCAGAATCTAAATTGGTTGCATTTATTGCTTCTCCGAAGGGAAAATTGCCCATCAGCATGGAATGGTTTATTCTAAAAATAAAGGTGTAGTTGTGAATTGCTTCTTACATTACATAAAGTTCAGTCTTTTTAACCTAAAATTTATACGGTTTTTATTACCTGCATAGATTGCCTCCGGCCACCCCAAATCCTTGCGCCCTTATTTGTAATAAAAGAATGTAACGTTATTCTGGGTTATTCATGCATATATTGTTCATGCAAATGATTTGAACTAATGTGTAAATATGTATTATTACGTTCCCTTATGGATTTTCTGTGCACCTATCAAACACATACAACTTTTTGAAGATTAGTTTTTAAGCTAAGATCAAATATATTATATTAACAATATGATCCACTCTTTCGCTTAGCTGACGAACAAAATTTTTAGCGATGAAAGCACCTCTGTGGCCAAAAAGGCTACCAATGTATTTGTTTATCGTCACGAGAGGTAAACCAAATGAAAATTTGTTTAATATTTCAAATGAATGTATTTCAGCATATTATTTTATTTAATGAAAACAGTGACATGTCAGACAAATTTTAAAGTAATATACACAATGTAATTAATGAAAATAATGTGACTCTTACTTTTGTAATAAGTGCTATATTCGCACCCCTCGATTGTAATTGAATGGTTGTTGCTGACTTTTTTCAACGCTAGATGGTGCGTGAAGCAATATTTTGCGGGTCGCCATTGCAATATTTGGAAAAGGCATGAATGGATCATATTGTTAATATGGTATACTTGCCAGGATCCTACCTCGTTAAAGGTGAGGATTCAATACTAGGTTCAATACATAGTGCAGCAAATTAAAAAAAAAATACATGCTAAGGTAGCAAGTTTAATTAGAAACTTCACCGCTAGAGGCGCTTCAGTCAAGATTCCTATATTTAGTACGGTTAATAGGAACCGCACTATGGGAATCGACATTAACGAATACACGTACCATATGGGATTAGAGCTAATTGGAATCTATTATTGAAGGGTAATTTAAAAAGATAACTTCCTTGTGTCTTCTGAAAACTTATTTAAGATAGATGACCACCTTTTGGGGAAAATTTCGCATCCGGAAAGCCTCAAGTCTGGTAAACCGGAAGATCCGCAACATCGGTAAAACTGGTCAATTCATGAAACTGATCCTATAGCTCCGTGTTTTTTTGTCGAAATTACTCACAGACGTCTCGTCAAAATGAATTTGGACTTGTGACTGGAATGTGAACCCTGGGAATCACGGTATGGTCCACTGGAGATCCGTAACATCCGTAAAAGTGGTAATTTCATTAAACTTATCCTAGAGCTATGTGTTTTTTTAATCCGCCTATAGTAGTCTTATCAGAATTAATTCAGGACTGTGACCGGAATCTGAACCCTAGGGACCACGGGATGGTCCACCGAAAAATCTGGAACATCAATAAAAGTGGTGAATTAATTAAACTGATCCTAGAGAGATCCGTTTTTTTTTTCGTAACCATGCATTGACGTCTTATCAGAATGAATTCAGAGTTGTGACCAGAAAATGGACTTTGAAGACTACGGGATGGTCCACCGAAAGATCCGGAACATCCGTTAAAGTGGTCAACTCATGAAATTGATCCTAGAACTCCGTGTTTTTTTTAATTACTCATAGATGTCTTATCGGAATGAATTCGGAGTTGTGACCCGAATATGGATCCAGGGTACCACAAAATGGTCAACCGAAAGATCTGGAATATCCGTAGAGCACCGCGTTTTTTTTCCGAAACCATTCATAGACATCTTATCAGAATGAAGTCGTAGTTGTGACCGACTATGGACCCAGAGGACCACGGTATGGTCTACCGGAGGATCCAGAACATCCGTAAAAGTGATAAACTAATGAAACTGAACCTTGTGCTCCGCATATTTGTCAACACAACACGTGTATCACGTAATGGGCATCCGGAAGATCCTAAACATCCGTTAAAGGGATCAATTCACGAAAATGATCCTAGTGCTCCGTGGTTTTTTTTTTCAAAACCACTCATAGACGGCTTATCAGAATGAATTGTGAATCAAATATAAACCCAGAGGGCCACGTAATGGTCCAGCGGAAGATCTGAAACATCCGTAAAAGTGTTAAATTCACGAAACCGATCCTAGAGCTTCACTTTTTTCGAAACCACTCATAGACGGCTTGTCAGAATGAATTCGGAGTTGTGACCAGAATATAGACCCTGGGGTCCTCGGTTTGGCCCCACCGAAAGATCCGAAACATCCGTAAAAGTGGTCAACTTATGAAACTGATCCTAGACCTCTGCGGTTTTTTCGAAACCTCTCATAGACGTCTTATCAGAATGAATTCAACGTCATGACCGGAATATGAACTCTGGGGACTCCGTATTTTTTTAAACCACTCATAGACGTCTTATCAGAATGAATTCGGAGTTATCCCAAGTAACCAAAAGTTCTGATAAAAGGCTATTTATGGCTTAAGCAGCTTGGTTGAAGGTGGTCTATAGAATTCTAAGCAGCCTCATTTTTAAGCCGTTATAAGAACTTGAAAGTTCCGGTACCATAATCGAAGAGCATTCTAAGCAGCCTCTGGTGGGACTGGGACGGAACTTTTAGAAAATAAATTAAAAAAGATTTTTGTCCTTTACACCAATTCTATATTTAGTTCGCACTTTTATGAAATTTATTTCTGAAGGCAGGTATTAATGTGTATTTATTTTTCAGTATTAGTATCTACTACTTGGAGCTGTCTGAAGAATTAAACTCAGTCCTTCTGCGTGTGAGCCCCAGCACGAACCGCTACGTCATCTGACATATATAAATGTGAGCTGTTGTCCCGCCTACTGTTGGAGTTTTCAGTGCCATCTGACTGACTTGAATACGAAACACAACACCTTGATGAATTTTAAATTGGTGTTTGCCCGCATGCTGTTCCATCACACTTGTGGTGCAGCGGTTAACATGTCGAATACACGGGTTCCAGGAAATTACTTTTTATTTTTTTATGTTTGGATGGAATGTTGCATAAATATAAGAATTATGATTTATTCGGGCCATTGACCATTTCATATTTACGAACATTGATTTTTTTACTAATAAAGACTTGTGCGGATTGCTTAATGTGGCTTGAAAGTTCTGTCGGAACTTTATTTGAACTTTATGGAACTTTAAAGTTCCGTCAGAACTTTATTCGAACTTTATGAAACTTGAAAGTTCTGTCGGAACTTTATTTGAACTTTATGGAACATGAAGCTTCGGTCGGAACTTTATTTGAACTTTCTGGAACTTGGAAGTGATTTTAATCGTTGAATGCGGAACTTTTGGTTACTTGGGATGACTCGAATATGGACGAATATGGACGTAATGGTGCACCAGGCAATTCGGAACCAAATTTAAAGCAAAACAAAAAAACCAAAGTAACCAAAAATTCTGCTTTTTGTTTGAAGAAGTACCCATCACTCTAAAATTTATTTATTTACTTCGTTCACCCACGTAGACTAGTACATATTAGAATACAGTTTTGTTTTCTTAAATTTATTTATTTATTTCGTCAACTTTGGGCAAAAGGTTAAGAGTATAATTTTTTCTTCAATAAAAATT